CTCTTTAATAGTTTAGAGCCAAGGCTCTATACAACCGACACCTATATATATATATATATATATATTGTATACTATGAGACCATTTATGTTTGATACAAGGACATCACAATAACTTTTATCCATTGGATGTGAAATCTAATAGTTGAAAGTGCATCACTACATTTGAGACATTTTATTTTGGACTCTGTGCCCAAGCAATGACATTATCCTTAACCACCCAATTTCAAATATAATAGTCAATGATGATTGTGACAATAGCTCGTCTGATAGGTAGGACTTGAATTGTTTTATAAAAATTAAAGATATACTTATCTGCTATGTCAGCTTGCTTGGTAGGTGGGACTTGATCTCACCTTGATTACCCGAGTTCAAATCCTCTGAAGGGCAGATGCTGTTTTTCATTCTCTAGAGAGTAGAGTTTGACTGACTTCTTATAAAAGAAAAGGTATACTTATCAATAATGGCTAGCAGCCTGCATGGTATGTGGGACTTGATCTCACCTTGATAACCCAAGTTCAAATCCTACCAGGGGCATGATATATATATATATATAAAAGTAAAGGTATACTCTCGGCTCTCGGCTTTCTACTCTCTAGGCAATCATGTGGAACAAATTCATTTGTTTATATTTTATTTTAAATTATTATTCCATGCTAGCTGTAATTCTACTTGAATTATCTTAACATCCCTCCTTATTGGGTTCAAAAATTTCTAATTTCTTAATTTTTTATTTTTATAATTTTTATTATTTCATAGAAAATAAATAATTTATAATAAATAATTGTATGGATGTTTCAAGGTAGTAACGGTATTTTAGGCCCACATTCTGAACACTGACACCCATGTCCATGTCCATGCAACAATGCATTGGACTATCCAGTGCACAGGCATCCTTGGGCATTGAAGGGTAAAATCCTAAAGATCGTTTTAGTCTTATGGGATTTTGTGATTGAAAGGTGGTGGAAGCTTTAAAATTCTTCTATCTTAAGGTGATCCAACTGGTTCTCTTGCAGCCTCTAGTCATTGAAGGTTATTCACTCAACATCATTAGATGGGATCATGACAGTCAACATACTTGTGGGACTCTATGCCAGTCAGGTAAGATTTATGATTTGAATGGATGCTGGGGACTTTTGTTCAGCCACGCACTGCGAGAGGCCAATTTTATAGCAAAATCTCTAGCTAAGGTATGAGTGAAAAGAATCACTCTATTTGTGGGCAAACAATTCCCTTTCGCTCAAGTAGTTTACACATCCACTTTTGGTTGCATCTCAATTGAAACTCGAAGTATAACTTGGTTGAAAGCAAATTGAAAATTCATCAACAAGAGAAAACATTTAGCTTCAAATAAGACATACACCCTCTCCTCTTCAAATCAAAATGTTAATGGACAAAACAATGTTATTTGACACCGAAAGAAAGTGACAAAAGCAATATGTTTCTAATATTTAGTTTCCCTCATCAACCTATACCACTAAAACATTTGAACTATAGCTTGTCAATAGATCTTCTTAGCATCATAGACAAGAAAGCTCTAGAAAGCAAGTTCTCGAAGCATTATTTAGCCAAACTTAAAAAATATAGAAAACTTATGATTACAAAGGATTAAAAATAGGAAAATATCTCCGTACACCCTCTTTTTAACTTTCATTTCTCAATAAACCCAAGGTTTCAGGACATATCTCGTGGCATAGAAATCTCATGTATTATATCTTCTAAACTCCTAGACCAACTTTACCTCATCTTTTTAGCCCAAACAAATGTTCAAAGACATTTTTTTTTTTCTATTCCTTTCTAAAGCCCCTTCTCTCTCTCTTCCCGTGTTTTTCCCAAACCTCTCTCCTTTTTTTTTTAATATTGAAAAAATATCTTTTGAAAAAATATTTTTTTAACATTGAAAAACAAGGAGAGAGGTTTGGGGAGAAACACAAAAAGAGAGAGAGAAGGGGCTTTAGAAAAGAATAGAAAAAAGCATGTCTTTTGAACTTTTGTTTGGGCTAAAAAGATAGGGTAAAATTGGTCTAGGGGGTTAGAAGATATAATACATGAGTCTCTATGCCGCAAGATATGTTTTGAAACCTTGGATCTGTTGATAAATGAAACTTAAAAAGACGTGTACGGAGATATTTTCCCTTAAAAATATACATAAATAAACACTAATATGATAAATGGGGAGTAGATGAGTATATCATAGAAAATGGTTAAAGAGATATTGCAAATTCATTTATCAAGTCTTCTTATTGATAAAATCTATGGTACGAGAGAACTGCTTGACATAATAGACAAATGTCATACAAGAAATATGAACCATGCCACTTATTTATTTATAATTGAAACACCTAAAACATATTTTCCAATCAAACAAGTAACTGATATGTGAGATTCAAACGTTCAACAAGGTAAACAAAACCATAACATAGGTTGGAAGCAACATGCACATGCTTCAGGCGAGGATAACTTAAAAATAAGATAAATGAAAGAAACTCAAAACACAAAATTAAAGTTCCAAACTAAGACATATTTTCTAGTTGAAAATGCACAAAATGTGCATTTGACAAAAGATCAGAAAAAACAAATGTTGCAGAGATGGGCAAGCAACCACAAAATGATTGATAGAACTATATATAACTGAAAATTTAAATTAATTGCAACAAATAGATATCAATGTCAAATTTAACAAAAATAATGTCTTAATAACAACAAACAAGAAAAGACCCTAGAATAAGCATGAGCTCAACTAATATCATCCAAATGAATGACCTATTATAAGCCAGACAACTCATATTCAATTTGAGCATATCCAAAGGCCGGCGTGTATGGGCACTTTTTTACTTTTAGTTCTTTCCATGAATCCTTCTCAATGGAAATTTTGTGGAGAGTTACGCAAGACCAAGGCACAAAAGAAAAAATATTTAAAAAACCATCCAAAAAAAAATAATGAAAATGACCCAACACTTATCGAGAAATGTGTGCCATCCAAATAGTTAAAACTGGGCAATTTGGCCTATAATGTAGCACAGGCTGGCTAGCTCAGAAAATCAGTTACCTATGTATGTATGTATCCATGCATGCATTATATCATCATCATCATCATCATAGGTTTTTCCCAATTAATTGGAGTCAGCTATAAAAATCCTGGTTTGCCATTCTACTCTATTTAAGGCATACCTTCAGTGAGGCCAAAAGTCCCCATATCCATGCATGCATTATATATGTATGTTAAATTACTCAGGCTTGGAACTCGGCCCCTGCCAAAATCTGAGTAACTCGGGCAAGTCCAAGTGGCCTCGCCTGAGTCTTATTCGATCTAAAACGTTTCCTAAAATAACCGGAGAGAGAGAGAGAGCATGTAATGGCCACAACCCATGACAGAGAGAGAGAGAGATTTGGGCATGTGGCCAAGATAGAGAGAGCATTGGACACATGATCGAGAGAGAAAAAGGGAGAGTGTTGTGGGCATGCACACTCGCATGAGTATTATAGAAATCGGCGGACTCCTCCAAGTTCTGCAATGCTTAACTGAGTCTGTACAGTACTCGCCTCAGAACTGTACAGGTTCCACCCAAGTATTGGGCACCACTATTCGCCTTAGCAGGGTGCCAAGGCTGAGTAACTCATCCCAGTCCGAGTCGACTTGGCCAACTTTTAAAACACCGGTATGTGTGAATGTATGTCTGCATATATTTTACGAAGTACTTTTATGTCTAACATGGAGTTGGAAGAGTCACTACAACCTCGCACCCTACTAGGTGCGAGTTGAAAACCTTGGGAATTGGCAAGTCTCGCAAGCTCCCAAGGTCCTTTCTTATTTCTCTTGAAAGAATCGGTCGAGTCTGAATGTTGACACAGACCCAAACCTTCCTGGTTCTATGGTAGGGTCCGACATGGGAATTTTGATCTTAAGTGCTCACAAATTGTATAATATTTTAATGTTATTTCGTAAACCGAATTTGCATATAATGGATGGAAATAAGAGCTCTGCGTGCAACTTCTATGCTTCTTGATTGCAAGTATTAAAAGAAACATTTCCAAACCACGAATAAGTGCAAGGAAATGATTTCTTAATGCAAATCTATATGGAGTCAATTAATTCCAAAGACTCAAAAAGAATCACCAAGCCGCAAAGTGCATATAATACTAGACAAGCATAGCAGATTCAACATATATAGATCACATTGTTTCAAGTATATCAGAAGAAATTGCAAAGACAAACCAAAAAAAAAATAAAAAAAGAGGTCCAAACTGAAAAGGATCAGCTACTCAGTGGGAAAAACAAGATGTGGAAATGACCTGACTCAAAAAATGGAAAATGTATAATATAGACCAGGTAATCTCAATAGGAAACATAAGAAAATGGCAACTAAAAGGTCCAGCAAACGATTGAGAAACATCAAAGCATTCACATGGCAAGGCCAGAGAGATATAAAGAAATGCTAAACTATTAATAATTGAAATAGTTCAGAAGAACTCAAAATTTATGTTTGTGAAACTAGAAAAAAATTCTAGTGAACAAGAAAAACAAAATGGCTAACACTAAGGGTGATGAATGGATGATTAGGAGTAAAGAATAATCACCATTTATGAGATATCTTCTCTACCCAAGTAGTATTTACATTTAAGAGATCAAATCAAGTTTATGACAAACATAAGTTACATTGTGTTGTTTAGTCAAGAAACTAGGAATGGAAACAATTTACCAGTATCACATAGATAATCTGAAAAATTCTAAAATCTCATCTAACAAGTAATGATAAAAAAGAAACATGTTATAATTATAGTTAAGCCTCTTCAAACAATGCGAACTAAGTCATTTGTCATTTACGGAATTGTTTGAAGAGGCTTAACTATAATTGTTCAAACATATTGAAGAGGCTTATAACTAACGGAATACGTTTGCCATTTAAGTCATTTGTCAAAGAAATGCAAATAATGACCCACATGAATTGGTTAAAGTTTCCCATATCTACACAGATTTTTCCACTGGTAAAAAAATAACAATTCTGAAAACATGAGAACATGAGTCCTCAGGTTGCAATTATAGAATACAAGAACCTCCGGGCAGCCAAGAAACATAAATACATAATAGCTCCATATCACTGAATTTCTACCACAAAATATAAAAAAGGGTCATTAATTCCTAGAAGTCAAGTTTTTGAAGTTCTAAATAAAACTAGAGAAGCCTGATAAAATTTGTTTGTTTGATGGTGAAGACTCATGAAAATGAAACATTCAAGCAAGTTTCCCCGAATTTCCGACCAAAAGCCGGATAAAATGCATGACTTGACGCGACGTGCAAAAAAACTTGATGGGCCCTAAAAGTTCCACAACAGCATACGATCCATGTAGCATAAAACTGGAGAAAAATGGACAAAATCGAAAAAGAAATAAAGTTCCTCAATAAGAACACAAAATTTGCAAAGACATACTAAAATGTTCCATGGAACCTGCAAGTCCCACATTGATTTGATTCTAAGTAGGGGAATAGATAAAATGGGTCTTAGGGGGAAAAAAAACTTTTAAAGATAATATTTGGAAATAAGTCTTAAAAACCCTGAAACATTTTGGAAGTAAGCCTTAAAACCCGATAAAATTAATGAAAAAAATTGCTGAAAATACATTTTGTTCTATGTTTCTCATCTGAAATATATACGATGGTCACAATCAACTCTCTATAACTCAAGTTCTCTAAGTTTCTAACCTAATCACAGTGAAATGGAAGCAAACAAAAAGCATGTTTCCCAACCAAGATCTTTCACTGCAGAAGGTATGGCTTAGTAGTTGCAGAATCGGAAAATCGTATCTTGACGAAAAGAGAAACCCCAATCCAACAAAATGGAAGAAACAAAGCCATAAATAGAATTCTTCTTAATCAAGCTCTTTACAAAAACTAAGGTCACAAAAACTAAGGTCCCAAGAGTTGCAGATGCAGAAGGCATAAGATTATGGAACCAAAAGAAAAAAGAAAGAAAAGAATAACAAGAACCAAATTCAAGAAAAGGTTAACTTTCTCACAAAAAAGAACAAATGCACGAGAACAAATCCACAAGAAACACTCTTTCATACAAGCTCTGCAATTTAATGCCCCTACACTTGTAGAATTGGAAGTAGAAGCTACATAAAAAAATAGAAAAAACTAAAACCAATAGTGGATTGCAAGATATACGAACCCACAAAAAGCTTTTTTTTTTTTAAAATCAAGCTCTGCATTGTCAAAAGTTCCTAGGAGTTGCAAATGAAATTGAGAAGAACCTAGACTAAATAATAATAACGATAACCCTCAAAATAAAGAACAAGAAAGAAGTAAATGAATCCATGAAAATAATCCTTGTCAATCAAGCTCTGCAATTGCGGGCCAAGCATATTGAAAATGAGAAACTAGAAGATGCACAGACAAGAAAAACCCTAGAACTAAGAAAAGGCGGTACCTGCTAAAATTTGGTAGAGAGAAAGATCAGAGATCCGCCATGAAAACACACTGCCTCTCTTTCTCTCTCTAAAGCACCGACTTTCAAACACACACTGTCTCTCTAAAGCACTCACTCACTCACTCACTTTCAACAGTGTTTGTATAACGTTAGGCGCACTTTAGATGGGGCAGGGGCTTTTCAAATCCGGAACTCAAAAGTAGAATTAATTGAAGCACAAACCAACGGAACTGCCCATGTGTTTTACATACGTGGCAATGGTCGGACATGAATCTCGAAAATGACAGAAATACCCTCACCTCAAGAGGTAAGCCCTCTATTTGCATGACCCCATAACTCTACAAAGCCAAGCTCTAAACAATCCAATTAGAACCCACCTCAAAAGTTTAATCAAATTAAAGCTCATCTAAAAAATTTGCCTAGAAGAGGTTGTTTTGATACCTAAATATCCTCAAATTAATCATTTCGACATCAAGATGCATGGATATGAAAAAAAAATGGATTTCAAGTTTTGAAAATAGTGCATCTTGTAACGTATTTTTGGATTGTCAATTTTCAAATTTTCATAAATCTGCTCGATCTGTACTATTTTTTGAAGCTTTAAATTCTATAATTAAAGATGAAATATTCTTTAAAGCTATCATAAAAATTTTTAGTATTTTTTTTTACAATGCTACTTAAGCTTTATTTAGTAGTCAGATGTTACAACCTTTCAGAAAGGGAACATCAGAAATAAACAAATTATGCATAGACACCCCTCGTTTTGCCAAACCATCAATAATATTATTAGCATCCCTATACACATGCTGAAAAGAGATTTGGAAATCCTCGCATATATCCATAATATATATCCATTTCCTCCTCAAGCTCCAAGGTGGCCTGGATATCTTATTGCACCAATTTATCACATTCAAAGAGTCCCCTTCAACAAAACATGACATTCTGATACTCTTTTGACTCATAATCTAAACTCCACACTCTAATATCGTCAATTCTGCCCTATTAGCTGTTACTTCCCCACAAGGGCCAGCATAACAATCGATCACATCTCCAAATGCATCACGCAAAATTCCTCCAACACCCGACAGGCTTGGGTTTCCTAGTGAGCTTCCATCGAAGTTAAGTTTGATACTCCTTAGAATAAGTAAACTCCACCTACCTTTTGGTCTAACTTTCATTATATTTTGAAGCATCAAATTATGCAAATTAATCTCAACATCCACTTTGGACACTCCAAACCCTTCCTTAGTCACAGAAAACCAACTTCAAACTGAATGCATAATCTTTCTTTTAACCCATTCGAGCTCCAGAGCTATGTTTCAAAGGTCCTCCTATTGTGCTCCATCCAAATCTCCCAAAGAATAGTAGCTCTAATCATCTCCCAAATCATCTTGCCCACCTTTGGTAAAGAATCCAATTCCATAATGTCCAAAATATTCATATGACTGCTTGGCATCACTATCATATGTCTAATTTTTTTAAAACCCAATACCCAGATATGAGAAGAGAAAGGACAATCAAGGAAAAGATGATCCCTATTCTCATTGTTTTCCTTACAGATAATGCAAATATTTGTAATAATCCTGCCCTTTTTTATGATCTTATCCACAATAAGCAACGTTCCTTGAAACAAAATCCATAAGAAAATTTGAATTTTGAAAGGGACCTTCTAACGCCATATTCTCTTCAATAAAGGCCTACTCCACCGGATCCTATCATGAAACAACAGACTGTACACTGATTTTATTGAGAAAAAACTGTCCTTCTCAGCGTCCCATACCAGTCGTCGTCCCTCTCTCTATGCGGCATTAACCTATAAATATCCCCAAGTATATTGATTAATCACCGAGTCCGAAACCCTGTTGTACCTACAGTTTAAAGACCAAACATTTACATCCCAATCAAAGAACTGAGATGCCAAGATATCTTGCTGATTTATCGCTCCAAAAACAAGCAGATATGCCGATTTCAAGCAACAATCTCTCACCCACTTACTATGCCAAAAAGATATATTTCCGCCATCACCCAAAATCCACTTACAATAATCAATCATAAAAAACTTGTTTTGGAGAATGCCTTTCCATATCGATGATTTAAGATGATCCCGTCCCCCGCTACCTATCCAAAAATTATGCTGGCTCACTCCATACTTGGTTATTAATATATCTTTCCAAAACATCCCATCATGGCTTATTAATCTCCACCACCACTTTGAAAGAAAAGCCTGATTCACATACTTGAGTTTTCTAATTCTCAAACCACCTTCTCTTTTTGGTGTGCTTATTGCCAAAATCCCCCGAACCCCATAAAAAATTACACATCATTTGTTCTATTCTTTTGGAAACTGAGCTCGGTATAACTAAAAAAGCATTTGATAAACCGGTAAATTGGCCAAAGATGACTGAATAAGAGTAACTCTCCCCCCTATAGATAAATGCTTGACTTTCCACAAGTCTAGTTTTGTGTTGACTCTTTTTAAAACCGGATCCCACACCGACTTGGGCATTCTACCATTTGAGATTGGTAAGCTAAGATAGCAAATTGAAAGCTTCTCTACTTTACATCCCAAATGAAAAGCCAACCGCTTTAGCAATACATCCAAACACTCCACCCCCACTAAGGAAGTTTTCTCAAAATTGACTTTGAAGCCGAGCACCATTTCACAACAACACAAAAACCTTCTGATATTAATAATTTGATCCACTTTTGCATCACAAAAACATCGAAGTGTCACATACCTTAAATCCATTAAATCTTCCTCTCCCTCCCAACACCCCCCCCCCCCCCCTTTTTACATTCTTAATCATCAAACTCAGAACTTCAGCAACAATTATGAAAAGGAATGGAGATAACGAGTCTCCTTGCCTCAATCCCCTTGAGCCCTTAAAAAAACCTTTCGAGCTTCCATAGAACATCACTGAAAAAAGCGCTGAAGAAATGCATCTTTTTATCCACATTCTTCATTTTTTCCCAAAACCCATACATCTCAAAGCCTCCAACAAAACGTCTTAATCAACCTGATCATATGCCTTTCCATATCTAATTTAAGCAATACTCATAGCTTCCTTTCCAACTTTCTCGAGTGAACACACTCTTGTACTATTGAGACTCCATCTATGGTAATTCTCCCTTTAATGAAGGCCGACTGAGTTCCCGAAATAGCCAAATTAAAGACCCATTTAATTCTATCAGCCAATAACTTCGCTATAGTTTTACACATATTAGTTAGAAGACTAATTGGTTTGATATCTGACATTCCTATTATGGCCTGCTTCTTTGGTATTAGCGCAATATACGTTGACTTTATGGCTTTATTCACTACTCCTTTTGATAGAAACTCATTAACCATAAGCATCAAATCTAGTTTTGTCAAATCCCACATTTTTTTAAAGAAAACCACTGGAAATCCATCAGGACTTGGGGCTTTATCCATTGGCAAATTAAACACAACATTTTTAATTTCCTATTCTGATATAGTTCCTTCCAAAGACACAACTACTGACCTTGGTAGCACTTTAAAACCAATACCATTAAAGTTCGGTTTTATATGTAAATCCTTCGTAAAGACTTTTTGAAAGTGCTTCACAAACTCCATCTTCCATTCATCACTTTTATTATCCTCCACCCTTTTAAAGCAAATACTCGACACATCATTCTGATGACGCCGAGCGTTCGCTATAACATGAAAAAACTTGGTATTTGAATCACTCTCTTTCAACCATCTAACCCTTGATCTTTGCCTCCAATAAATTTCTTCTGAACGAAGATAGCCATGTAAAGTCACCAATAACTTACTCTTCTCTTCCTGTAAAGCATAAGTCTGCATTTTTTTCAATAATTTAGGAACTAACCACATTTTTTTTCAATATTGAAACCACATTTTTTTAATAATTTTTTTTTCAGTATTGAAACCACATTTCTCGACACTATTTGAAGGTGCTTTCCTTTTATTGTTAGAGAAGATTATTAAAATGCATATAAGAGATCAACTATTTGATATTTTACTCGAATCTTTTTATTTAATTTTAAAATACCTACCAAAATACATAATGACTATGAGTTGGAAAAGATGAGTAAATGTAAATTGTTAAATTATTGAAAAGTTAGGTAAAATCATTGAAGTGGTTTTTTGGTAAATCAACGACGTGGTTAAATCAACAAGATTACCAATGAATGATTATATATAAGAAACATTTCATTGAGGTACTCCTTAAACTTTGTTAAAAAATATCCAAATTGCCATTATTATTGGTTACTAAAGTATGTGAGCCGAGTTTTGTAATTTGGTCAATAGAAGTGATTTTAACCAGTGACCAAAATAACCCTAATTCTAGAGTTTTGTATTTGGCTAATAGAAGTATTCTATCCAATGACCAAAATAACCCTACTTATTGTGAGTTCCTATTGGAACATGTTTTTTTCATTCATAACAGTGGGTTGATCCCATGGAAAAGTGCATGATGGTGCTTAAGAAGTCATGCTTTCCATACAAAATTAAAAGCATGCAATAGGCTCAAAACTATACTATCAAAAGTCCATAGAATAAAACTCTTCAATTCAAATAGGACTTTAAGACGAAACTATGAGCATGATTGTTTACTGTTATCATGAATTTCCAGGAGATAGCAAAATCAATCTATTGCCATTGAGATGGAAGAAAGAAGAGAGCCATGAGTGGGGCGTGAACCTCTTTGGGAAGAAGAGATGGTGAATTAAAGTGAAGGTAAGAAAAATATGAATAAAATGGGAAGTGGTCCTCATATGGATTTTCATTGGGGGGTATAGAAGCTAGATTAGATCTCAACCACACGTTGAGTGATCCAAAGGTTGAGAGAAGTTAAAGACATAGTTTCAATCATCATAGATGGCTATCACATGGATGGTGATGATTGAGTATACCCTTATCCCCATGCCCACATAATGCCTCCAAAATTCCAACAATATCTCAAGTACCCTTAAACCCTAATTTTCAAAATCAACTCATCTTAACCATTTATTTTTAAAACATTAAATCATTGCCATTGATATAATATGATCTTTATGAAACCCTAATGCGGTTAGTGTGCCACCCCTTGCCTCATGAGTTGATAAAGCTTGTGGCTCATACAAGCTAATGAATAATCATTATCATGGGGAACATTACATCACCTTATGTTATGATGTGTGCCCCCTTATCCTTTTCACACAAATCAGCATCCTCCGTTAATATCTAATAGATATCAAATCAAATTAGGGGTTTAAATTTTTATGAAAATTGTAAAATATCTACACTCTCACATGTGAACACATATGTGCCATAACGCACTATATAATCAATGTTATAAGTCATATCAAAACAAGGGTCTCACATTTAGGGCTAGGGTTGCCACATTATGCCCATTGGGCAAGGACGTGGTTGTCTTACGGGATTCATGTTTGGCACACATTGACTATTTGTGTGCCTTACGCCACATGTATAGACGTCTTTAATTGGAATTAGCACACAACAATTTTAACAAAATATTTTCTTTTGAAATAAAATTCCTCAAAAAAACATGATAAATCATTTTTAGTTAATTCTCATCAAAATATCATGGTCTGGCACTTTTCATAAATTTGGCGAGGAAACACGTTCCACAGGAGGTCGGGTTACATGGTACTCAATTGGGCTAGACTCGAAAAACCAATCCAATTTCTGAGACCAACCCAACATACCCTTATGAGTCATAGACTTCAGTCTGGACATGATTGAACCTATCAAGGCTAACTGATAGTTGGATGGACTTCAGGGTGTTTAGTAGATTACATGTGCCCCCAAGGACATGCACTGTTGCGGATGCGGGGATCCTCTCGTAACATGTGTGCACAGTTCTAATAGGTGGATCCTACCTCGTCAGAACGACCTTCCAAAATGTGATTGTTTTGTGCACATGTTGTGAGCAAACTACATATGTCAGGGATGTGGGCTTATATCATCTTAGAGCCCAACTATGCATAAACAGGTCTTATATACAAACATATCTCAAACAAACAGCGATCCATTGATCTCCAAGCCCTAACTCTCACGATATGAGGCGAACAGGGTCATACCGACCCTCACCAGAGGAAAAACCCTAAAATCTTGTGGTTCACAATATCATTCCAAGAACCTCACCCCACTTAATCAAACAAGGCTATTTTTGCTTATCTGGATCCTAGGATATAAAGATACCCAAAGCCACTATGTTCCTGGTCACTCCCACTGTGACTCTAAACAGTGTTGACAGTGCACATAAGGCCATTGAAATGCCGTAATTCCAACATATAGGTATTTATAAAATTAAGAAAATATTTTTTAGAAAATGTTTGCTATTTTATTTTTCACTTAGTTATTAAATACCGAAATTCAGTTTTAGCCTATTTATAAATATGTTTTCAGAAAATAAAATACCTAGAGACTTCTAAATATTTGTTTTATCATTCTAGAAATCATTTAAGGTCAAATTTCTAAATTAATTTGATGAGATTTGGATCCAACTATGTTAAAGAAATATCGAAATTATTAAAGCACTTCATCTTCTACTAAAGACTATAGTTCACATCCACTTTTTCAAACTGACTCAGTAGTTCCCATGACCCTCAGTCCATCATAGGGGTTCATGATTGTGCTACCAAAGTCAACCAATAAGTGAAAGGACACAATCCTAGGTTGTGGATTACAGGTTCTCCCTAGGGACAGGTCCTAGATCACATTGACTTGTGCACACAAATCGCACTTGGTACATATGGGATCTATCTCTCGCACATGTACACACATCACTCTCAATAATGCTTTGCTTCTTGATATGGCTATAATGTGTACATGCCATGTGCTAGTATAAGATGAGGCTTTTGCCTTCGTCCCTTCATGCTCACCAATCACACACAATGGTCACACAGTCTCTTGGCTCATTACTTTGGACAACCCCGACCTTATCAAGGGATAACCCTGCTAACCTTTCTTGATTTTGCTCTATGCCCATGTATTTAGGATTTTAGTACTCAATTGGCCTAGCTTGTCGAGCCTAGTATGAGTCTTGACAAACAATATTGCTAATCTCGGCCCATCTTAACCATACTTCCACTTAAGTTCTTTGTTCCACTATAACAAAATTGGTTACATGCTCTCATAAAGCTTTTAAATGGCCACAAAAACTTAATATCTTCTACTTGGCCTTATACTCTCTCACAATCCCATCTCAACCACATCTTGAATAAAAACAGTTTGCACTTTACCCCATTGTAAACGAGATTGCAATCATTACTTCTGTGGGAAAGTATATGCTTAGACTTCTCATGGAATCATGATTCTTTATACACGCATATTTCAGGTTATTGTCGCAAAAGATTCTTACACTTGCGTATTGTATAGTCTCAAACTCTGGCCAATTAAAAAACTTCTTAATCCACAGTTCCACACAATCTCCTTGGCTGCCAAACAACATGCCATGTACTTTGACTCTATAATGGATAATGCCGTCACATCTTGTTTCTTTGATTTCCAGATGAAAGATTAGAGAGAATCGATACATTCAATACCTCCAAATATCAACTTTAGTGGATGTGAGGGCCCATTGTCGTCTTCAATTTAGGCGTATGAACGCCCTGATCCCATTTGGTCATTTTCTCCAGTTTGGAGTTTGGTGCTTCCATTATTGCAACAATTATACCCTCGTCCATACTACCTAAGCCGTGCCCAAAGAGAGGTACGAAAAAAAAAAAAAATCTTTTTAATGTTCTGGCCCAACCCAATATAGCCTTTTCAGGCTGGATCGGGACCGGGCTTGAACAAAAACTTTTTCAGGCCAGGCTAGAACAAATCATTTTTTATTTTTATTAGTCCTCATAGGTCTGGTCCAATGGCACCCCTAATTGCTACTATTTATTTTTCCAATTTGGAAAATTATTTCTTGTGGCAGGGACCACATTTCTACGGTCCCCGATGTATAAAGCATCCATCTTAAAGATGGATGCAAATAAGTGGTCTATTTTAAAACAGAAGAAACTCACTGTCCAAAAAATATTTAAACCGAATTATTAGTTAAATTTTTTAAAATTTATTTATTTATTCATATGCATAATCTCTATCTTAGATATTAGGGAAAATTGTAAAAACCCCCTCAAATGGATTTTTTATCTACTTTACCCACCCAACTTTTTCTAGCAACTTCCCACAAAAAAAATCATGTTTTCTAGCAAATACCCCTATACAAAAAATCATTTATTTTTGACGAAAATTCCCTTCTCTCATGTAACAAATCATTTTCGGATCCCAATAAAAGGAAACGCCGGACCGCATTTGTACAACGCTAGACTGATCACTTCAAAACGCACAACCGCTACTTCAAAACGCCGAACTGCCACCTTCAAACTGTGGGATCGCCATATCAAAATGCTAGACTGCCCCTTCAAAATGACGGACCGTAAGTTCAAAACACCGGACCGCCCATAAAAAATAATTGTCGGACCGCCACCGGACCGCCCATAAAAAATAATCGTCGGAACGCCACCATGAAATGCCGGACAGCCACGTCGGACCGGCCATTCTAGGAAAAATAATCGCTGGACCGCTTATACAAAATGTTGGACCACTCTCTACAACGAAAATAATTTAATGTGTAAGGAAAGAGTATTTTCGTCCAAAAAAATAAATTTTTGTATGGGGGTATTTTCTAAGAAAAATTGAGTGGGCGATAAAGTGTGTAAAAATACTTTTGGGAGTTCTTACAATTTTCCTTGGATATTACATGTCTTTAAAAATTAGGTCAAAAAATCCATAACAAAAATAGATTTTTTAAGAGGTGACACATTTCTGCATAGACACGGAGAAATCGCGTCCTTAGAAATTTTAATTCATTTCCTCAACAATTACTGTAGCCCTGTTGCACCAACTATCATAGTCTCATGTAACCGCGACTTTCTCTAACTTTATTGAACCTGCAACAATCTCGTCCATCTGAGTTTAGCCCAAGTTTCAGATCCATTTCTGAGTAAAACCATCAATCAATTAAAACCCATCTACCAAAAACCACCGATTTTCTCTTAATCCTCTCCTGATTCAATGCTGGTTCAGATTTAGGAAGGGTTTCTCCGACCCCAACAATGGCTGTCTCTAAATTTGAGGGATCGAAGCAATACTATGCCACAAGTAGCTTGGTTGTAGGTTATGCTCTGTGTTCTAGCTTACTTGCTGTCATTAACAAGTATGCCATTACTGAATTCAATTTCCCTGGCCTATTAACTGCATTGCAATACCTCACCTCCGCTTTGGGTGTCTGGGTTTTGGGGAAGTTAGGGTTTCTTCACCATGATCCGTTCTCCTTTGAAACTGCAAAAAAGTTCTTGCCTGCGGCTATTGTGTTTTACCTTGCAATTTTCACAAACACCAATCTTTTACGCCATGCGAACGTTGATACCTTCATTGTGTTCAGGTCTCTCACTCCCCTTCTTGTTGCCATTGCTGATACCACTTTTAGGAGGCAGCCACTTCCATCAAATCTCACTTTCATTTCTCTTGTTATTATCTTGGCTGGTGCAATTGGGTATGTGGCCACTGATTCAGCTTTTACATTGACTGCTTATTCTTGGGCTTTTGCTTATTTGATAACCATCACTACTGAGATGGTCTATATCAAGCACATGGTTACCAATTTGGGTTTGAACACCTGGGGCTTTGTCTTTTACAATAATCTATTGTCTTTGGTTATGGCTCCCTTCTTTTCGTTTATCACTGGGGAGTACATTGAAGTTTTTACCGCGGTTCAAGGATCTAATTCTGGTTCTTGGATTGGGTCTGGAGCCTTTTTTGCAGTTGGGTTATCTTGTGTTTTCGGTTTAGCAATAAGTTTCTTTGGATTTGCGGCGAGGAAGGCCATTTCAGCTACTGCTTTTACCGTCACCGGCGTCGTGAACAAGTTTCTCACGGTTGTCATTAATATGTTGATTTGGGATAAGCATGCTAGTCCATTTGGTCTTGTTTGTTTGCTCTTTACCCTTTTGGGGGGAGTTTTGTATCAGCAATCGGTAACTAAGGCACCCCCATCTCAGCATGAGTCAACAGGGGTGAAGCAATCGGGTGGTGTCGATGGTGATTCTTCAGGCATTGATCAAGGAAAGGGATTATTTGGTAAACTTTCTGATGTTTGATTAATGCGACAAGGATAATCTACACGTGAGGGAAGAAATTTCAGCTATTTGAAATTTCAGCTATTTGAGGGAGGTAATGTTCAAGCCTTGTGTGGCATAAATGGAGATTTTGCTTCTGGACTAATTTACACTACTGCATAAAGGGTGTATTTTTGTATCCCCTCCCCCTTGATCATTGACAATGTCGAGAACAATTGTCATAGTGTATTTTTGTATCCCCTCCCCCTTGGTCATTGACATTGTCAAGAACAATTGTCATAGAATGTCTAATATTTTGGTTCCTTTTATTTGTTCCTTGAATTACTCAATTTTGCTTCTGGACTAATTTACACTACTGCATAAAGGGTGTATTTTTGTATCCCCTCCCCCTTGATCATTGACATTATTGAGAACAATTGTCATAGAATGTCTAGTATTTTGGTTCTTTTATTTGTTCCTTGAATTACTCTTCTGGCATTAAAAGTTTTAACAATAACAATACTTTGATGCTTGTCCTCATGTTGTTGGGTTCCTCTGCATTTGTTCTGTGGATATTCCAACTGGATAGCTTATATCTTTTGATGTGGAAAAAGTGAGAGCAAATATAATGTGTCCTAGATTGGTAACATGTTGGGTTAGATTGTCGTAGTCTTGGAATAGAATTCGATGCAAATATAAGTGTGAGCCAAATGATGAAAATATACAACCAGCTTTTTTCAATGCATAGTTCTGGAAGTCCTGGTTATTTCAAGTGCTGGTTCACTTCCTTGTTGATGGTCTGAACTTTGTTAGTCTTGTACATACCTATTTTTGTCACCTGTTTGGCATTTCTTAGTTTCTGATTTGTAATGCTTCTATGGGTTTCTACATGAAGCTCTATTTTCTGTTTAAACCTACTACTTGTTATATTGAATTGATATTCTTTCATTCTATTGTCGTTTGGACTTTCATGGATCAACATTAAGGGGTTTCTTGTTTCAATGAAATGTAACCTAGCCTATGACCGTTTTATTTGATATTTGAAGGTTTAATGATATTCACGATGCTTTAATACCTTACCAAGTTCCATGAGAACTTACCAAGTTCCATGAGAACTTACCAAGTTCCATGGCCTTCCTCTCGGTGAGGTTTAATTGTACAGATTTTTGTGAGATTACATGCTAAAATCTTCTTGAATATGACCATGTTGTTATGTATGTTTTGTTTCCACACTTATTAAGTTGTAACTTTTTTGTTATAATAAGTTTTTCATACGAAAAGGAGCTCAGTTTGCATCACAATGATCCTTTCCAGCTTGAGAATATGATTAAAATATGGTCGTCGTGTTTTTTTAGGTGCTTTTCTCATAGAGGATGGTGATTCCCCTATGTTTGAAACTTTGCATGCATCAGAATTATCTGTGGTTTCTTCCTTTCTAGAGTAGTACTTATTAAGTACCACTTCTCAAGGAAGTGAAAACTATAACTACTGTTGCACATATAGAAAGTATTAGTAGATCGCCAAATGGAAAAGGTGAGAATAAAATGAAGTGGTTAAGTCCAAATTCTTGGCTACATCATTTGTGTATTTTACTAGTTCTTTTAGTAGGTTACTAATTGTTGAGAAAGTGTTATGTATTTTTTAAATGACCCTTCCATATTGTGTGAATAAGAATTGCAAAAGCACCAGCTGGTATTGGCATCCATGTCTTTGAAGTGCAATACCAGAAAACGTTGTTCACAAGGTTAGCCCCTATTGTGATTCGGTTGGGAGCTTCATTTTCTTTCAGAGTCCTAGTTAGTCTTGGATGAAATTATAGTTGCGAATTTGGTTTATTGGGAGAGTGCTAGGGCATCTCTAATGGACTAAAGGATTGAAATGTGTTTTTGTCATAGTTTGCATCTTTTCTCGATCCAAGGGTGCTACAGCAATATATCAAGTTCGGCTTCTTTCATACATTTGAGCTCAATAAGGAGTAACATCAGCTATTTTAGATATGGTAGTATCTCTGCTTAATTTTGCATATCTGTTTGTTCTTGAGAAACATTTTAAATGTTCTAGTTAAGACAGAATAGTTTGATTAGAAGTATTTCAAGTTCTCTCTATATCATGATGAAGACAATGCCTCCACCATGAACCATATCGTATTTTTCGAACTTACAACAACTATCAAATGCAAATCCCATCCCTGACATTTACCTTATCCTCTTACTTTGCATTGCTTCTATAAAGTCCCTGGGCACGCACATAAGTATTGCCTCGACCCTAAACTTCTACATGGCCCCAATGATATGAACCATGAAACCCATATTAGCCTTCTAAAAGGTTTAACACAACTTAGCACTAAGGAATGCGTTTAATCCATGGATGAGAATTTGTACACCATTCTAAGTATTCTCCAACAGAGTACAGAATTGACTTTCCCTCTGAAGAAATATACCCTAAAATTTTCGTTGCAAAGATTGTTGATCATTATGATGTCCTAGCTGAAATAAAGCATAATCGCAGTGGAAACCACTCACCATGTACGTTGGATTCTTCCTATTGGGACTCGAGACATGGACTCTCTCACTCGGGTTGGGTACACCGCCAATGCATCCAATGACCATCCATTGAATGTCGATGGTAGAAATGAGCTATACTTCCTGTAAAATGTACACTTACTCAAGTGCGATAATATCGACCTTCTACCATGAAGCATGTGTGGTGGATTTGCCAAAGGTGAATTGTTATCATTCACTCATAGTGTATGGTGTGTTTTTCCCTGAAATCTAAACCATGCAGCAAATGTAGGAAAATAAAGTAAAGAAAAAAGTTTATATAAGATTGCAACCTAAAAATGTAGAATTAAGGTGCACCTCAAAAATCCATCATAGAAGGTCGTTTTTTTTTATTATTATTTATAATGTTAGCATTCATCATAGAGATGTATGAATATGAAAAACAAAGAAGATTTTGAGTCCTAAAAATAGTGTATCTTGCAACAAATTATCAAGACCATCTATTTTCAAGATTTTCAAGTGTTTATAAATCTACTTGATTTGAACCATTTTTTAGATTTTATATTTAGAGTTGAAAATAGATTCTCAAGCCATCCTAAGAATTTTTTACACCAAAATTATATTCATGATGAAATTCGGAGGTGTGCCTTAATTTTAGTTTGCAACCTTATACCAAAAGTAAACATATATGCTTTATTGTCGCTAGGAAATAAACGCTTCCTTCACTTTATTTCCTATTTAGATATAGAGGGCTTCATTTGCTTAGGTAAGGGTCTCATTGTTCACATAAACTACTTTATCATGAGATGAACCATAATAAGGTAATTGTCGAGTAGGGTTCCCTTCGAACTAAAACCTTAAAGTGCTTTCTCACATTAAAAGAGTATTACTTCGTCGTGTTCTGTTTTCTTCTGTTCTTTAAATGTTGGAAAATTTGATGGGTGGGGCGGAAAAAAGAACATCAGAACAGCATTAACTTTATATTTATTTTATGTAATTTATTTTATTTGTTTATCCTGTTATGTGAGCTTTCATTATAAGACGACAAAATGATTCATCCTCCTTAGCAGGTTTATATGATCCTTTAAATGGTTCACTCCATTATGTATTGTGAATGTGGATGAGATACCCTTTAAATGATTCACTCCATTTTCTCTCTACGTTCCAACCCTTTGTCCTCATATACTGTCTGTGATACATAACAAATATGAATGGGTGGCCTATCCATGTCTGAACCTTTATTAAGCTCTCTAGACAAAAGAACTGAAGCTTTTGATTTTTCAATTGAAGTTTTTCCTGAGTCATGACTTGAATGAATAAAAGTGTGCAATTTTCTTCTATTCCTTATTCCTTTATCATTAGAAAATAATATAATGTAGTATAATATGGGTTTTTCTTTGTAAGCATGTAGTTACAAGATACAGATTATTTAGTATGGGTTTTTCTTTTTTCCCTGATGTTCTAAGTTGGGAACAGGAAAGGTAGGCAAGCCTAGGTACATGGTAGAATCTAGCACTTCATCTCCAGATTGCTGTAGTTGTTCACTAATATTTTTCATACCTTCTGGGTTGATTCTAGGATGAATCATTGTTTGTCATCTTAGGATTAGCTCTAGGTCGATACAAATGGTTTTGTTAATTTACTTGACAGGTGTATATGTTTGATCGAGTTTTAAATACTTGATAGGATCTTTTGTTTCTTGGCACTTCGAGTTAGCTTCATTCAATGGTTCTAGAGGTGCTCCATAAAATTGACATTGCGATCACCCTATATATAAGCTAGGGTTATAAGTGTCAAGCTACAACTTTCTTCCCTGTAAACTTGCCCTAGTGTGGAGACAGAATAAACAGGACAGAAAGTTTCAACATTGACTTGCTGTGCTATAAATGTAAGAAACCAAGTTCCAAGCAGTGGTTTTACGATTCTGGGAGGAAGTATGGTGATGTCTTGCAATGTTGGAATTGTAACCAAAAGTTCGAGTCACGAGCGATCATCTGGAAATTTGATGAAATAATTCACGTAATGCCATGAATATACAAAGGCACAGCATATATATGCAGTCAGAAAGATTATTGAGCCTCAACGACTGCATACAATCCTGAGATATCAGTGAAGTTGATACTGTTTGCATCGAATTAGAAAATAATGAGATCTCGAGCGATGATCTTCTCCATTGATAATGTCTATGCTCAAGTCTCAATTTTTTACCACAAGCATGACCTGTCCCATGTCTTCCATGCAGTGGTAAAAAACTCGCTAGATTAATCGGCACTCACCAGAGTCAGTCTGGTTCAAAACCTACGGATTTAAGGAAGAAAGCCTCAGAATGTGTCCCTTGACCCCGTATCTCTATTTTTTGTTAGACAATCACCAGACCGACGGGTTACTCAAGCTTGGGACCCTGGTGAGTCCAAGCCTGAATCTCTGATATTTATCACTGCTTCTACTCTCTATTTATTATTTTAAGTGAAATTATACGTTTTAATTTATAAATTTAGATATTATTTCATTTCTTTTATACCCATAAGCAATAGGTGGAGTGTGCTCCTGAACCTCAAGTTCGAACCCGTAAACTGCACCTATTGAAATCTCATTGTGTCATGAGTCATGGCACACTTCCGAGAATGAAGTAATCACACTTTATCAGTTGGCATGTGTCAAACTGTTATCAGTTGGCATGTGTCAAACTGTTAAAATGTGCCACAACACTTAGCCAAGAATGAAGTATAGGGGTAACATTGCATATTGCATTAATCAATTGCTCTTGGTCAAGAGTTGCAAAGGTATTTTTATTATTTTATTTAATCTAAATTGTTGTATTTTATTTTTAACTGGTGTTCCCCATCCAATGTGTGCAAGCTCCATTTTTCAGGTTAATATGATTTTTTGAAATAAATAAAAATTTAAAATAAAACACCCTCTACTCTTTAATCAAGATCAGACAACATCGAAAATGAATAGTAGT